CACCTTGCTCAATGGTGCTCTTTCCCCGTGCCGTGTTCGAAACCCTTAGACCCTCTGACGTGCTTTCTACTGTTTCTTCCCCTGATATTTCTGTATAACCTCCATATGTTTGGTTCCCGAAACCTTGCTCTCTACTTAGCATTGCCTTCAACTTCATAACCTGCTCACAACACATGTAGCAGCTATAGGAATATTCAACCAATTCAGGGAATAATCACTGTTACTTTTACATATCTTTCCATTCTTGTACTCATAAAATATAATAAAACAAAACACACTCTAAATTATTTTGTTTATCTTTATTTCTTTTAACGCAAATGGATCAAAGTAAAAATAGTATAAAAATACTAATGTGTAAATAACTAAATTCAAATTTGAAAACAATAATTTTGGCATGAAAAATGTTACTTTCACATTTCTCTCGCTCTCACATCTGTCACATATGCGACATAATCAAAATTTAACCCTAATCATAAATATGAAAATCATATTAACTTTTTTGGCAAGACCAAGACATGATATAGACGACCATTATATATATATATATAGAGAGAGAGAGGGGAGTTCAAATGACACCAGTATAATTTTTACTAAATATTATACCGCTCAATAACTTTATATTAAATGTGAATTTTGAAAATTTAACCGTGAGATTGAAAGTTCATATCTCTTAGATCATATATGTCAAATTTTGTTAAAATTGAACAATAACTTAAAGGTAATCAAAGTATTCATATTTTAGTATATTTTGAAATGTATATATTACGTCAATTTTGTTTTATGAGAATGAAGTATCAAATTATCTTAGATTAATACAAAATTTGACATATATGATCTAAGAAATATGAAATTTCAATCTAACGGTTAGATTTTTAAAATTCACATTTAATATAAAGTTATTGAGCGGTGTAACACTTAGTAAAAATTACACCAATGTTGTTTGAACCCTCCTCATATATATATATATATATATATATGTGTATATATATATATATATATATTCAAACTTGAAACTAAAAGAGATCTCTGAATTCTGAAAGGCAAAACTTATATATAACTTGTTTGTTTTTGAAAATTGTAAAGTGTGGGAAGGTACCTCTTCTTGAAGCTTCTGCTTTTCGTCGGAGATGACATCATATTGGTGTTTAAGCACATCGTACAAGTGCTCAAGCTGCTTGGCCTTCCACCTTGTACGTCTATTTTGAAACCAAACAGCGATTTGGCGAGGTTGGAGGCCTAGTTCCCTCGAAAGCTTCATTTTCCTTTCAGGGTCCAACTTTATCTCCTCCTGAAAACTCCTCTCCAATAACTCTATCTGGTTATTTGTTAATCTTTTCTTCTTCTCTTTGTTTCCGTTGTCCTTTGTTGGAACCGACATTTGTTCTGTATCCATCAATGTCGGTTGTTTCACTTCCACTGCTCAACATATGCAGGTTACAAAATTCAGTCTCTGATACGTGAATGAAAGCATGCTAGATACAGTTATAACTTATTTTATGATTAAGTTAACACATAGTAGTAACTTTGAGAATAAAAATACATTCCTACAAAAATAATGAAATCATGACAAGCATTTAGGTTGTCAAGTGCTTTTGGTTACTTTTTTTTTTCTCCATAAAAATAGAAGCAGCTAAAAACTAACTAAAGACTAATTTACATTCACAAATAATAACTTCTATTTATCAAATATTATTTTTAACATTATGACAATCGATTTTTTTGAAGCACCACGACGATCCATGAATCAGGATAAACATTACAAATTTACAACTACTGACCAAGTGTTTTTATGATTGATGTTGTCCTCGCTGAATATACCAACTTACCAAGTGTATATTCAGCAATGAATCTATGATGTTGAGAACTACGTAGTTTTCAAATACATGCTTTCTCAAGGTTTTCTATGCTGTGTCTTCTTCAGAAAAGCAAGAAAATGGGGCCATTACTTGGGATTCAAGTTACCATTCATGTGGGAAACTAGTAAACATGAGGAGTGAAAAAGAAATGCAAGTTGATATAGGAGGATGAAGGTAAATTCTTTGAAAGAGGAGTTTTTGTTGTTCTTTTACCTGGATATGGGTTGTTGTCGTTGTTGCAGTTGTAGAAGAAGCTTAAGGAGGAGTCTGGGCGAGGAACATACGGCAGTTTTGTGTTGTGATGCCAATCCATGTCTGTTTCCAGTTTCCTGTCTTGATCCCTTTCTTTGAATTCCATCTGAAAAAAATGGTGTGTCTTATATGGCTGATGGAGGGTTTCAATGCACTGCGTTGGAAAGGACGTGGACCACATAGGCAGAAAGAAGATAGAAAAGGTGAATAGGAGTTTAGCTAAGGCACTGAGGTGTGGCACTTGTTATTATGAGAGGCTAAAGGCTCTCTACATTCCTTTCTCTTTTTGGGTGCTTGTAAATCAGAGATCTGTCAAATTATTCATTGCTTCTATCAAATAAATTTATTTTACTGAAGTAGAAGTAATTATCAAAATAACATAAAATCATTTATTTCGTTAATTACTTCGAGATCAAAGTTAAATTTAACAAAGATAATACGAGACATTTGTGAAATGTACATTTTGATTTTTTTAGATAGTTATCTTGGTTATCAGTCGATGGATAAATTAAATGAATACTAACTTCAGTTTCTATGACGAAAAATAATTTATTACTCGATTTATATATACCTTAATGAGCTTTTTTATTTCTTAAAAAAAAAAGCTATGATCGTTTGAGACAAATTAGAATAACTTCAAATTAATTAATTTACGTGTTTGGTGATAATTAAAGATGAAAATAAGTCTTATAACGATTCGACCGACCTAGTTCATAACTTAAGAAACTTAAATTTAAGCTTTTAAAGAAACTTATTTAATTTAAATAAAAAAAGTCAGCCCTTAAACCTTTAAAAGAGAAATTAAGTCAAACATATATATTAATATTATACTATTGTATATTATATTAATTAAACATAATAATATAAAATTAGGTCTATTTAATAAGTTGATAGTCCTATTAAGAACCGCAGGCTTTCCGACCTTTTTATTGTCCTAATCACAAAATATAATTTTAAACCGAACTAAACTTTTTATGATAGTCTGATTATACTTTTAAAAAATGTCTGCAATAGATAAATAATTAGACTTAGTTTTTTTTAACAAATATAACTCAAGCCTAGGCTTGTTGATCTAACTTGTTTTCACTCTTAGTAGTGATGGATTCATTTTTTTATCTTAATTATGAATTAATTGAATTGTTAATAAATAATGATATTCGTACATGAAATTGATAACATTATTAATTGGTCTTTTTTTTTTTTATTAAGACACATAAAATATGCATTTAAACATGCACAAACTTTATTTTGCCTATAAACAATGTATGACAGAAACATGGTAAATAGATGTCGAAAATAGTGTGAAATAGTATTTTCCATAGGCAAATGCAAGAGTTGGAAAATTGCAAAACCGATGATGACAGAGAAGGTGGCATATATCTGATGCACCATTAAATTAAAGACAAATAAAGGACGGTAAAGAAAACAGAACTTGGGCTCATCTTCTGTTCATTCAACCTTATTTCCCTTTCAACTTAATTATATATGCTGCAGTGTTTCAGAGAATACAGCTGATGCTATCTTACTTGCACTCCTTCTTCTGTCTGACCATAAAATTGGGATCTAGGTTCCCTTGCTTTCACAATTTTTGCTGCAATTTGGATATTGTGGCTATTTCCAGTTATAGGACTGAACGTGTGTTTGGACTTTCTGTGACAAAATCTGAAGTCATTTGATCCAGAAATGGTGATAGAGATCATGGACGAGACAAAGTTCATTCATCAATTGGAGTTGTGTTTATTTTATTTTAAGAAAGCAAAATATCTTTCTAGCTAGCTAGCACAAAGTCATGAGACTAATTTCCCAAAAAAGAAGAATATGAGTTAAGTGACAACTTATTGATATAGTTAGGAATTGAATATATATATATATATTATAAAAAAAAAGGTGTAAGATATTAACCACTTGTGTGTGGCATTGTTTGTTAATTTATTGATGCATGCACTTGATAACAACGGTACATACTTTTGAATAGGGAAAGCCTCAGTTCTGACGTACGGGTAGAAATAATGAAAGACTGGCATAATCTCAAAGCTTCAAACGGGGAGAGATCGTAGAGTGCTATTAGTATTAATTAATTACTCCACCAACACCTGCAACAAAAGTCTTGTTTACCGTTTTTATTTCTATAATATGCATCTTATCATCCTCTTATTTACTTTTATCTTTCTTTTCTTTTCCTGACACGTACTTATTGCATCTGAAAAAAAATAATGCACATTAATCTTGCTTACCACCAAGTGAGAGAAAAGAGAAAAGTGAAAGTATAACGGGTTTAATGGTAATATATCAATTTAAAATTATTTTTTTTTGTTAATTGTATCATGTTAGTTTCGTATCAATCGAGAGGTCTTTTGTGAATGTCAAGAATTATGTATGGAGAATAATCAATTTCTTAAATTCTTTGTATTCGAGCATAGAAGGCCATGTACTATACTAGTTTTTCATATACTAATTATTTGTTCTAGTCTCTCGTATATTAACTATAATTATCAATCATTAATTGGCATGAAGTCTTCAAAAGATTGATCTATACTTTATTCTTCCATAAGTTGACTATCTCTTACTTATGTGGAGGATGATCGAATATTTGAATGATTAATAATATGATCTCGTGATCTTTAGAATGAACAAAATAATGATCATAAATTACAAAATTATGAAAATATTAATAACAATAATGATATGATGTAATTTGTGGGATGTAGGAAAAAATATATAAGATGTGTTTATAGTATCACATTGACAAATATAGATGATTAAGTCTAGAAAAAATAGTTTGAATACTTACTAATTTTTCGCAACCAGACAATAACTAGAACTTTCTAATGGTTCCCTCTATACCAAAACATTAGTCAATAAGATACTATTGTTAATATAATTTTTAAGATAAGTATTATACAAACTAACAAATTTACCATGGATGATAGTTTGTACTTTTGTAATTAGATAATAATGACAACTTTTTTCCCAAAATATAATACATGGTGTCATATAATTGGAATATTTTTCATTAAGGATTTCTAATGATGTTACGATGATTAAATATATTTGTTGGTGAGAAATTTGTATATGTTCAGCCATTAAATGACAAACTATCAATAAACGAAATATTCTCTTTAGGCATTTGACCAGAGGAAGTGACTTTGTTTCTTTGAAAGGGTTTCTAGTTCGCTCCCAAAAAAAATAAAAAAAAATCTTTATAACGGTTGTAGTTGTAATTTTGAGGCCGTTCAGCTACATTATTTCTTAATGATAAAAAAATAAAAATAAAAAAATTAATAAAAAGAACTACGTTATTCCCTAAAAAAAATTGCGATAAAGGAAGTGTTGTAAACGGTTTAAAAATTGCGATAAACAAAGTAATAAATAAAACAGTAGAATGCAAATTTTAAAAGCTGAAAATATAATATTTAGTGATTGGGTGTCTCTCAGTAAATTCAAATTTATAATCGTTGGGATATAGCCATTTGACCTAGGAAACCACCTAACACCTTATAATATGAGTTAATTAACGAATTATCTTCTGACTAACAAGTTTCTGAGTATTGGGAAACAGCCTTCCCATTTTTTTTTTCCTAATAACGTAGTCCTAGTCCATGATTTAAGATTGTGTTAGTCATCGAAAATTGCTAACATTAGTTGTTAGTCCATTAGTAACAACTTGATTATTTTAGTGCCAACAATTTTATATTTAATAACACTTTATTTAAATGTTATTGTAATTTTAAAACATGGAATGATAGTTCAATTATTTTACAATGATTTAATTAATAATTTAAAGTATAAAAAACAACTAAATTAAAACCAAACTATTGAAATCAAATCATAATCAGTTAAAATATTGTATAAAACATATTATTACTATTATTTTTAAGTAATCGAGTTCAATAACACGTATTAACATAGAACTTAAAATAACTCATACAATGCATAAAATAAAATAACTTATTAATATTGATGTTATCTATAGATATAGTAAAAATGTTGCTTATTTTTTATCCGCAACATGGCTACAGCGTGAAATGCATCATTTGTGTATATAAATACACTACAAAAAATTCTCAACCACATATTTTATAGTAGCATAATATTTATTATTAAAAACTATTTTTACATATACTATAAATATAATATATATTGATATATTATTAAAAAGTATAGATATAAATTATAATGACACAATATATATTATTAAATCTCATTTAAAATTAACACTAAAATTATATGTAATTATACATTAAATAGACCTATACTTACACATACTATACCTATAGTGACATTTTTGTATGTTATTATATGTAATACTTTTTGTAGTGATATTTTGTTAATACATTATATATATATA